TGCTGACGACAGTTGTGGAAGGAAATAAGCTCATTCCTCCATCCCCTCCATGTTGCTCAGTTTTCAGTACCTTTGACTACATCTTCCTGGATAATGGTGACAAAATCAACCAACCAATCAACCAACCCAACCAACCAACCAACCAAACAAACAAAGAAACGAAGAAGCAAAGAAACAAATGAACAAACAACTGAAGGAAATTTACACTCACACAAGAGATCATGAAATCTGAAGATCTGTATAAAAAGAAAGCTCAGATAAAGTACACATCACGAGGAGGCTTAGATTAACATGTGTTATCAACCCTCTCCTTCTGGTTAGGCAAACTCTCTTGTTTATACTGAAGAGACCAAAGCTTGCAAGTTGAAGCAAATGATAAAAATAGATACGTAAATCCTGGGTTATTTGTCACTTATTTACAAACCTGAGACACATACACATACATATACATATGTGCACACACATACACATACATATTCACACTCACACATTCTCACCTGTGCATACTCACATGCCTTACAAGCCTTTCAGCCACAGAGATTCCTGAATACTGCCTAGACTGTCTGCTTTTTACACAACAGGGCACAAATCTAGACTGTCTCTGTAACTCTAAAGGAAGGAGCTCGACTTCAATGAGAAAGGTTTAGTATTCTTTCCTACAGTCACTTTTTTTCTTCTTTCTTTGTTTGTACAAATAGGAAACTGATGCTGTCATCTAGTCACTGGCTCCTCTCTTAGCTCCAGTGTTTCTTTGTCCCAGTCAGCTTTAGAAGCAGGTTCAGTGGCTGCAAACTTTACTGTGAAAAATGTTACTAGGTGTCTTATGGTGTTAAGGAAATCTGGCAGTTTGACCCAATAATCTGGGTTTTTATCTTTAAATTTATAGATGGTTCTTTTGTGGGAGGGACTGGGATCAAAGCTGAGGAAAAAACTGTATTGGAGAGACCAGATCTTCTGCCCTCCTCCTGAGCAATGAAACCTCTTAGTAACCTTACATTAAATCTTCAGACATTTCTCCTAGTAGACTCCTCTGTAAGGCTGAACTGATCTCATGCAGGTGTAAGCTTTTAGTGATCAGGCAGGGAGTCAAGCAGGGTTGCTGGAGGCCTTACATACAATGGAAGTACATATCAAAGGCAAGTGTGCTTACTCCAAGTGAGCTCAGATGGCAAATACCTAATGATCCTCTGCACTTTAAAAAGAGATTGCCATTGATTACCCCGGACAAAAGCTTAGCAAAGGTCTTCTCACTCAAAGGTTAGTTCTTTAGAGAAACTCTGGTCTTATGGGAAAATACTTTTCTTCATTTTGAGCTCCCTGAGCTGGCCCTTCCAGCTGGGCAAGTATAGGTTCAAATTGTAATGGTCACTAGATCACTCTTGCTCAGTCAGCATTTGGAGGGAACAAAATTCCTTTAAACTCAGCAATCTTAGTACTTGAGGATGTGGCTTCCAGGAAATGTGATTTTAGAGATGAATGTGATAAAATCAAATCCAAAAGGATTTTTGCAGCTATCAATTATGGATGGATATTGGTTGCAGCAGGCAGCCACAAAGACTTTGTATTGTGTATAAGGTGAGTTTGTGTTTGTGTTGTCTAGACATTCATGGTGATTTTGGTGTTTTGCTATAGGTATCTTTTATGTGTTTGTTGAGTGTAAGTGTGTGGTTGTTAGTGTGTGCACTAGTTGTTGTAGGCGTCATATAAATGTCGTGGATTTTTTTTTTACATGTAGCTATGTCATGTTTGTGTATATTGCATGTATTTTTGTAATTGGTGAGTATTGTATGTAGGTAAAGTGGGATGTGTTGGGCATGTGCCTTGTAACTGCTATGTGTATATATAATTCATGTATATATTTTACAGTATTCCTAATAATGTATTAAACTGTTAACATACTTTAATCCAACCCAGTCATTAAGAATGTCTTATAGGGTAAATATAAGCCATGTGGAAAACAGTGAACAGGAAGTTCAACAACGATCCAGAATTATATGACTCACAATGTACGAGGTTAGCTCAAGTCTATTCAGCTCCAAACATAGTATCTGAGACATTGGTTCTGAAATGAGTGTGAATGTCAGAATTCCCAGAGGATGGGTGAGTGAGGCCTTACTCAGTAGATCTAGGTTAGGACTCAAAGTTCTTGCTTTCGTCACTGAAGCTGCTAGTCTGAAGACCAAATTCAAAAGCCACCAGTCTAAGATCCTCATTAAGTTTCAAATGGAAAGATCTAGGGAGAAGACTGGGATCAATGCAGATAATTTTGAACTATTGAGCATAAATTTCATATCGTGACCAAAGTGGAAATTTAAAATGGATGTTGTAAAATTTGAACTCGGTTTCTTCCTTTAGTAGCATGTGTGGGTTATAATTAATCACATGATATTAAAAAAATGGTTCCTGTGTTTGTGTTTCCAAATTCCAGAACTCTGACTTTATTAATATGTTCTAAATCATAGAATGGTAGTTTCCACAGAGAAAATGATAGCATCGTGTTTTCCATCTAGTAAACATTTTTTCTTCTAAATATTTGTTTCATAGTGTTTTACTGCCCCAGAAACATGCACATAAGTACTGGAGCTGGAAAAGCAAGGTCTTTGGAATCCTGGGTCACTACTGTTACCAAAATAGTAGCAGTGTTTTGTGTAAATCAGAATGTGTAAAACCCTTGGCTGCATTTAACTTAACATGTGACAATCAATACTTGCATTCTCCCTACTTCTCACTCTCCCTCCTCTTCCCACTCTCCTCCCTTTCTCTCCCTTCCTTCCTCCTGCTCTTCCTCCTTTCCTCTTTTTATGTCTTTGTCTGTTTCTGTCTCTACCTGTCTATCTCTCTTTCTCTGTCTCTTTCTCCCTCTGTGTGTCTATTTCTGTTTGTCTCTGTGTCTCTGTCTCTTTTTCTGTTTCTCTCTTCTCTATGTATCTGTCTCTGTGTCTCTGTGTCTGTCTGTCTGTCTGTCTGTCTGTCTGTCTCTCTCTCTCTCTCTCTCTCTCTCTCTCTCTCTCTCTCTCTCTGTGTGTGTGTGTGTGTGTGTGTGTGTGTATGTGTGTGTACATATTCCAGCCCCAGAGATAATAGTTCAGGAGACACCAGACACCAGAGTAATTAAAGGCTGGCACACACAATCAGAGAGTCAGATGGCTGAGCCAGCACTGCAGATTTGTGATCATTGGGACTGTGGGATGATAAGAAAATAGGGAGCATACAGTGCTTCTTTCAGTATGATAAGTGACTCACAGAGAGAGCTATTTGGCCTTTCCTGGACACATCTTAAGATTGGTGTTAAGAGGGCAGGTTCTGACCAGAGCTGGTTCTATTGTGTTGTCCAATACTATAGCTCGCTCTGGAGTACCAAGCACAATGAATAGTCTGGGAATTCAGTTTTGTTTTGTTTTGTTTTGTTTTGTTTTTGTATGAGAATTCTGAGTTTCAGCCTTTATATAGGTAGGTTAAAAGGATATGCAGCATTCTCATTTGATACTCAGCCTTCTGTATTTTTAAAAGTATTTCCTGGGAAGGAGCCCTTGCCAGTACTGAAACATAAGACGAAAGCTTACTTAATCCTGTACAGTGTATTGCTGTTTTTGGTAACTGGCCTAGCATCACCCTAAATAGTTGGGTCTGAACTCAAGGAGGGGGGGGGGGCTTCAGAGAAGACCCACATGTCCATCACCTTTGCCAGCTATGAAAGTCTATACGTCCTCTGATTTTATCTCTTCTGCTCTCAGTCTCTTACACAGGTCATACCAGCTACCAAGAATAGCTGGGCCACAGGTACATTGCAAGAATTATGTTCTATATTACCCAAAATCCCCCTGGGTAGCTGGCATTGTCTTCATGACACATAGTAGTAAACTGGGCCTTGGGAAAATGAGACTTTCCAAAGAGTGAAGTATTTTGTTCTAGAATGTAAGGAAGAACTTCCTTTATCTTTTTTATTCATCTGAAAAAAATAAGATAAGAGTCGTTATCACAAAATTGTCAAAAACCAGGTCATAAGTATATGATATACAGGACTGTGAGTACAGCAGGTGTTCTATTCCCTTCTTTGTTCAAATATCTCATATCTAGTTGATTTCACATACTCAAAAGATTCATTCTGCCTGGGGTCCTCTGCTTGATTTGTTTGCAATATGAGATTGTAATTCTATTTCTTTCCATGTGTCTCACCCAACCTTCTTATCAACTTTTGGATCCATCTGTCAAGTTGGATAGCATCTGCTTGTCACAACACCCATGTGTTCTGTTGCCACTTCAGTCACCTGACTCTTCAATATTGACGACGGAGTGACATTCTGTGATTATTATGCATTGTCATCAGTGCTGGCTAGCATTTATTGAGAATTTGCTACCTGCCAGAGTGTGGGCAAAAGGATCAACAGGGGATGTTCACTTTATCCTCTTATAATTTAGCCAAACCAAATCCAGTCCACACTCACAGACGAAACAGCAACAAGAAACAGGGGACTTAAATGAGTTGCCTAGGGTCTCCTGTCAGAAAGCAGCTGAGCTCCTGATAGTAATTGGGAGTATGTGGCCTCCATATCACAGATGGATGAAAGGACCATAGATCAGGATTTAGCTCCAACCATAACAAGTACTAACCACAAGGCCTTAAGTAAAGAACTGTCTCTCTTTCTCTCTTTCTCTTTCTCTTTCTCTTTCTCTTTCTCTTTCTCTTTCTCTTTCTCTTTCTCTTTCTCTTTCTCTTTCTCTT